AGGAGGCTGAGGCAGGAGAATTGCCTGAACCCAGGAGGCGGAGGTTGTGGTGAGCCGAGATCGCGCCATTGCACTCCAGCCTGGGTAACAAGAGTGAAACTCTGTCTCAAAAAAAAAAAAAAAGCTGCAACGATTTATTAAGCTGTTTCTTGGTATCAGGCACTATGCAAAGAGCTTTGTAAGCATCATCCCGTTTGGGCTACCACATAAGAGGAGTGGAAAGTTCAGCAGATACTTAAGAGCATGGACTGCAGACCCAGAACGTGGCAGAGATACTTAATGGCTCTGAGCCTCAGTTTGCCCATCTGTGAAGTGGGAATAATAATAGTATCTATACTACATGTAAGCATAGTAAGTAAGAGGCATTACTATTGCCGTCATTGTTCTCTTTATAAAAGTTACCACTTTACTGAGTGATAAACTCACTTGACTCAAGGCCTCTAGCAAGTGGCAGGGTCTGTCACTCAGCAACTGTGGTAGGGCTATGCAAATCAGCAGGGCATTGGCCTGGCAGGTCCCAGGCACCCTCTGGAAGACAGCAGCAACAGAGCAGCTGATGGCCAACTCCGGGCTGAGCAAATATCACATTCTCAGCCCCGATAGGAGTCCCAGGGCTCAGGATGTCTTGTTTCCTCATGCAGCTAATGCAGAGAGTGCTGCAGGCCCAGAGGAGAGACGGGCTGGCAGGGGCTAGCCATGCAACAAAAGCACAGGTCCATGGTGGGAAGGGCCCAGGGCCCAGGCTGGAGCGAGACAGGCCCCGTTTCCATTCCAGCTCCCCCAGCTGCTAACTGTTTGGCCTTGGGCAAGGGGCTGAATCCCTCTGAGCCTCACTTTCCTGCTCTGCAAAATAGGATTGATGGTCTCTAATATGAGGCTGAAGTAGGAACTGACAAGGCCTGAGAGCCTCCAAAAGTGAAGATGAACATGAACTTACACTGGCAAGTAACAGCACAAAGTCATTCACCAAAGCAGTGATGAGAATCAGAGCAGACACACTGATCAGTGGACCCCTTTCAAACACCTCATGAGACACAAAAGGAATGTATGACCGATTTCCAGAGGAACAGGGCAGCCGGCAGGGGCTCAGGACCCCAGCCCTCCTCTGTGGGTCACCCCGGCGAAGTCAGGTCCTCTCTCCAGGCCTCACTTTCCCCTTTTATAAAGAGAGAACTGGACAGGTGGGAAAAAAGGGAGAGGAAAGGAAGGGAAGGAGGAGGAGGAGAAAGGGAAGGGGAAGTAGAAGAAAGGAAAGGATCAGGAAAGGAGGAAGGGAAGAGGGAGAAAGAAGGAAAAGCTACCCTTGCAGCTGAGACATTGAGAATTTACTATGTTCTGGGTTATCTCATTCACTACTCACAAAAATACTCTTGAGGTCACACAGGACCATCCTTATCTTACCGAAGATAAAACTTATATTCAGTGACATGCATGAAGTCACTCGTCCAAGGTCACACAGGGGCAGAGTTAGAACTTAAAGCCCTTTCAGCTTCTTTCAGCCTCTGGAGCCCAATACTAAAGGGTCCCTCTGGGCTGAGCTGTTGAAGCCACCAGGAGAGGTGCTGAACACCACCTCCTCCTTGTGGCCGCTCCCAAGAATTGCAGGCATGAGTCCCAAAAGCAGGAAATGAGGTCTGAGGCCCCAACACTCTCAGGTTCACGCTGAGTCCCTCCACCCACCTACCTCTGGAAGCGAGAAAATCAAGCAGGCAGGAGTGGGGCAGGGTCCTCAGAGGCCAGAAGGGAAGAGCCAAGGCAAGCTACCCAAGGACTCCAAGGACAAAAGCTCTTCGATGACAGGGAGTGACAGAGGAGGAGCTGGGCAACCAAGGAGGATGCCAGCAAGCAGAGACTCTAAAAAGACAGGTTTTAAATGTTTCTCTCCCCATCACCTTTGTCTTCGCACACACACAGAAAAGTTCAAGTACAATCAGATAAGCTGAGTCAGAGCCATCTGAGAGGAACTAGAGAAATGGCTGAGAAAGAAAGTAGTGGAAGGGAACGTTTATCAAAAAATCCAGGCAGGTCTCAAATGTGTGTGAATCTGGGGCTGGGATCTGGATCCTCAAGGAAACTTCCCCGGCTGCTCAGTAAACACCTCGCTGGGAGCTGAGTTCCTCCCAGCCGGCCACCCACCCCCCGGCCCATGGTCAGGCTCACGCTGTGGCTGTTCTGCATCACTCCTAGCACAAACCCCACCAGGGTATCTTCTTTACCCCCATTTTACAGAAACGGAAACTGAGGTTCAGGGAAGCAAAGTTTCTTGCCCATGGCCATAAAACCGGAAGGGATGGATGGACTCTCAATGGAGCTTCAATGCAGAATCGTATGTCTCCAACACGTGAGACCAGGCCCAGTTCTCCCTGAAACTCGCAGAGCTGAGCAACCAAAAAGGCTCTTGTGAGCAGAAGTGTCGCTTCTTAGGAGCCACCTGTCTTCAACGCCCCTGTATGGAATGTGGGCCGGGAAGGGGCTTCACGGGCAAGTGCAAAACTCCAAACAGCATGGAACTAAAGTCCGAAAAGAAACTCATTGGAAGCGGCAAGGCCCTGGAACCCACGTGGGCACACCGAGGCTCTGGAGGGGGCAGCTGCCCCTGGGGCCTGCTCAGTGAGTACTCGCCTCCTTTCGCAAGTAAGGAAACAGGATGGGGAGGAGGAAGCACGAAGACACAGAGATAAGTAAGGGCCAGAGGGAGACTTAGAAATACGGACAGTCGTGCCAGTAACAGCAGCAGTAATAATTACGAGCACTTCATGAGTTCTCTCAACCACATCAGCACTGTAAAGTAGACACGATTATTATCCCCATTCTACAGATGAAGAAACTGAAGCCAGAGGCCAGCCAAAGGCCACACATGAAATGTATGCAGATCCAGGACTTGAACCCAGGCGATGTCGCTCTGGAACCAGCTTTCTGCTGCCTCCTGTGATCCCATGACCATCAGTTCCTGAGTGTGTTATGACGTGTTGGGCCCCACACACACTTTATTCCACCCTCGCAACAGAGCTAGAGAAACAGGAATCAGGATCCTGCTTTCCAGGTAAAGAAACTGAAGTGCAACAAAATTAAATAAACTGCCCGAAATCTCAAAGAGGTTGAAGGGAGACAGTGCTGGGATTCGAACCCAGGACTTTCCAACACCAGCGTATGTTCCTCTAACCACTCCATGCCAGGCAGTGGGGTTACTATTCCATCCTGGGCTGGAAACCCAAGACGAAGGAGGGTTTCCCCAGCAGAGCCACCAAACACCCTCCACATCAAGAACCACAACACAGCTAGTCAGCTGACACCAGATTCCTGGACAGCAGCCTGCTACCCTCGACCCCCTCAGGGCCCTGGGCCATCCAGATGCTCCACCAGCCACATTCACAGCAGTGTTCAGCAGCCAGCACCCCCTGGGCATTCCTCTCCAGCCATGCAGTATCACTCACCACAAAGGGTCCGCCCCTCCTGTCCTTGGAGAAGCTGTGGCTTCTCCGGGGGACTAAGGTCACAGGGGACATCTGCTGGAGCAGCCGCTCCTTCTCCTGGGGGGCATCCCCCTTCTCCAGGTCTCGTGGCAGCACCTGAGGCACAGAGCACAAGAAAAGGACTTTACTGGGAACCTTCTCACGTACAGGAAAAAAACATAGGACACCAAGAGTCCATTCTATAACAAAAAGAGCAAAAAAGAAAATTAACCCCCCAGAAATCCCCCTACCTTAATGATCAAGAGGTAACATGTAGGGTGGTAGCTCTGGGTTCCAGTGACCCAGCCTCAGCCATTTAATAACTGTGTGACCTCAGGTGAGTGCCTTAACCTCTCTGAGTCTCAATTATCTGGGAAAGGAACTATGATACAGCACCCAGCTTCGAGGGGTTAAGGAACAGCCTACAGAAAGTACATGATGCAGTATCGCCACCAGGGGGCAGACGTGCACAAATCCTGGGCACCTGGCTTGGCTCACCCTAGCCGCCTCCGTTCCTGGCATCTGGGGACCCCTCCATAAATGTTGGCCGGCCTCATTACTGCCAGTGGTCATTCTTGGTGACCTTATTTTAATCATCACTTTATGCACCCAAACACGCATGCACACATGCACACAGAGCAACGGTGCATGAGCAGCACAGCACCTTCAGTACATGGAAATCCTGCTGTTTTTTTCCATTTAGTTATATATAGGGGAAACATTCACAGGCCAGGACTTCAGGATGCATATTTTATGTGCTTCACACTCTCCCTGCGTGAACAAGGAAAGGAAGGCCGCGAGAGGGGAGGGACCTGCTTAAGAACACAGCACCAGGAAGAGCAAGGCTGGGTTTCTGGTCCCTTCCCTCACGGCCTCTTTTCTGGATGCCTTCAAGGACCCTCTGGTTCTCCTCCTACCTCTCCACCAGCTGTTTTGGATCAGTATCCCCGCATGTCCCAGGCCAGCCGCAGAGCCTTTTCTCCTTTTGCTACATCATTCCCTCTGGGATCTCTCTTCACGCCCCCCATGGCTTTAAATAAATCCCATCTACACCCAGATGCCTGCCAATTCTGCTTCTCAGTGTTGGAACCCTGGGCGCGGAGATCCCACTGCTCACTCAACATCTTGGAAGCTCACGCTCGTCTCAGATCCATGTGTTCAAAACATGCCTCTTAATTCCATTATCTCCACAGTTGCTCCTCCCACCTTGCCCACCCATCCCTCAGATGGGGAGGCCAAGACCCTCCGGTTGCCCTCCATTCTTCCCCCCTTCTCTCCACCCCATCAGCAAAGCTGAAACTCTACCTGCAAGACATGCTGCAAATCTGCCAACCTATACAAAAATCAACTTGAAATAGATCAAAGACCTAAATGTAAGAGCTAAAGCCAGAAAACTCTTAGAAGAAAACATAGGTGTAAGTCTTTAAGACCTAGAATTAGGCAGCGGTTTCTTAAACATGATACCAAAGGCCTAAACGACAAAAGAACAACAGATAAAATAGACGTCTTCAAAATTAAAAACTTTTGTGCTTTAAAGGGTACCATTAAGAAAGGGAAAAGAGGCTGGGCACAGTGGCTCACGCCTGTAATCTCACCACTTTGGGAGGCCAAGGAGGGTGGATCACTTGACGTCAGGAGTTCAAGGCCAGACTGGGCAACGTGGGGAAACCCTCTCTCTACTAAAAATACAAAAATAAGCTGGGCAAGGTGGCATGTGCCTGTTTTCCCAGCAACTCGGGAGGCTGAGGCAAGAGAATCATTTGAACCCAGGAGATGGAGGTTGCAGTGAGCCAAGATCACACCACCGCACACCAGCCCAGGCAACAGACTGACACTCTGTCTCAAAAAAATAAAGAGAAAGAGGAAAAAAAAAGAAAGGGGAAAGAAAACCCGCAAAATGAGAGAAAGCTTCCGCAACTCATACGTCCGAGAAAGCACTCGTATCCAGAATACATACAGAACAATGACAACTCAGTAAGAAAGACAACCCAATTAAAAACGGACAAAGAATCTGAATAGGCAGCATTCCAAAGAAGGTATTCAAATGGCCAACGAGCACATAAAAAGATGCTCAACACCCTTCACCACCAGGGAAATGGAAATCAAAACCACAATGAGTAGCTTCAGGTCCAACCTACTAGGATGGCTATCATAAAAAACACAGACAGTAACAACTGTTGGTAAGGATCCAGAGAAACTAGAACTCTCGTGCACGGCTGGTGGGAATGCTAAATGGTGCAGCCGCTCCGCAACACCGTCTAGCAGTTCCTCAAAAGTGAAAACTAGTTATCATATGACCTGGTAATTCCAATCCTCGGTATATATTCAAAGAAATGAAAACATATGTTTGCACAAAAACTTGTACATGAATGTCCACAGCAGCATTCTTCTTCAGATTCAAAAGCAAAAGCAACTCAAATGCCCATCAATATATGAATGGAAAAGAGAAACTGTGGTCTACCCAAACAATGGAATATTATTCAGGCATAAAAAAGGAGTAAAGTCCTGATCCATGTTATGATATGGTTGATTCTTGAAAGCATCACGCTAAGTGAAAGAAGACAGTCACAAGGCAACATACTGTCTGATTCCATTGATATGAAATGTCCAGAAGAGGCAAATCTCTAGAGTCAGAGAGGGGATTAGTGATTGCCCAGGACTGAAGGGTAAGGTGGGGAATGTGGAGTGACTACTTACTGGGTACAGGGTTTTTCAAGGACAGAGGCAAAGACATTCTAAAATTGCGCTTTGGGAGGCCAAGGCAGGAGTTCACAGCCTGGCCAACATGGTGAAATCCCGTCTTTACCAAAAATACAAAAAAATTAGCCAGGAGTGGTGGTGTGCACCTGTAATACCAGCTACTTGGGAGGCTGAGGCAGGAGAATTGCTTGAGCCCAGGAGACGGAGGTTGCAGCGAGCCAAGATTGCGTCACTGCACTCCAGTCTGAGCAACAGAGCAAGACTCCATCTCAACAACAACAAAACACATATACTAAAATTGAGAGTTGTATCGCACCACTGCACTCCAGCCTGGGTGACAGAGTGAGACCCTGTCTCAGAAAAAGAAAATTAAATTAAGAGTGATGATGGTTGCACTACTCTGCGAATATACTAAAAACCACTGAATTGTATATTTCAAATGGGCAAATTGTATGGGGCATAAATTATATCTCAATAAAGCTGTTGCCAAAAAAAAAAAAAAAAATGCCACCAGCCTCTCTACTTCTCTCTACCCCCACAGCCACCACCCTGGTACAAGCCCTGTTAAGCCTTTAGGACCACAGCAGCCTCCTCACTGGACTCCCTGCCTCCACCCTAGGTCTCTACACAAAGCAGCTGATGGCGTGATGGGTTCTCTAAGACACAAGCAGGACAGCAGTGCTCAGAACCCTCTGTGGCCCCCGTGTCCTTGGCCACCCACCTCTCAATTTCAGCTGAGACCCACACCCCTGTGCCCCTGGAATCCCTCAAGCAACCCAGGACAAGCTCATCCCCACACTGGGGCATCTTCACCTGAGCTCCCAGATGTTTTCCTTCCATCACTCAGATAGCATCTCTCAGGTCCCTGCCCGCAGAGCCCATCCCTGACCTCCCGTCACCCCCTTTTCTCTCACCTCCAGGACTTAATACAGTCTCCATGAATAACCTCACTCATTCACCCCTGGAGGCCTGCCTGCCTCTCTAGATGCGCGCTGAGCACCAGAACGTTCTATAGTACATGGAGATGTCCTGCAAGTCCCATACAGTGGCCAAGACCCGTGTGTGGCTTTGGAACATCTCAATGGGGACACAGTGACTAGGGAACTGAATTTTAAACTGCATTTAATTTAAGCTAATTTAAATTTAAATCACTGCCAGGGGCAAGGAGCTGTCACACAGCCTGAGATGGTGGGCTCAGCCACACCGAGGTCCTGCCTAGAGGCCCTGGGACCCAGAACTCGGTCTGGCATGGGCTGAACAGAGGGCTAGGGTTCCCTCTGATTTCGTCAAGCTCTTCACCCCAGCTCCTGGGTAAAGGGTTGACCACATGTTACCTCGTGATAAACCTCTGACAAGTCCATGAAGCAGGCAGGAGCCCCATCCTACAGATGAGGAAAGTAAGGCTCAGAGAGGTCTGGCGAGGTGCCCAGCGTCACTCAAGGTAGGGTACAATCCCAGGGCTGCCCAGTATGCAGTCTGTAGACATTTCCAGAAAGAAATCAAATGATACCAGTACAAGGGTTCATCTCCTAACAAAGAGCTCTAAGAAATCAATGAGAAAAGAACCAACATCCTCAAAGAAAAGCAGGTGATGCATAAGCATGTGGGTTACGGGAAGAAAATAGAAATGGCCTTAGAAGGGCAGTCGCCACGCTGAGCCTGTGGATATACCTACAGGTGTGCACAATGATATGTATACATGGTTTGTCATACAAAGGATTAGAAATACCAGCCCCTGGAAAGGGTTAAAGACACTTTCCTATATCCACAAGCTACCAAAAAAATAAGGATGCTCTTTGCGAACTGAATCCAAAAACCCTCCCAGACCGGGTGCAGCGGCTCCCGCCTGCAGTGTCAGCACTTCGGGAGGCCAAGGCAGGAGGATCGCTTGAGCCCAGGAGTTTGATACCAGCCTGGGCAACACAGGGAGACTTCTGCCTCTACAAAAAAGAGAAAAAAATCAGCCAGGCATGGTGGCATGTGCTTATAGTCCCAGCTTCTTGGGAGGCTGAGGTGGGAGGATTGCTCAAGCCCGGGAGGTTGAGGCTGCAGTGAGCCGTGATCTCGTTACTCCAGCCTGGGTGACAGAGCGAGACTTGTCTCAAAAAAAAAAAAAAAACCTCTCAAGACACATTATATGAAAAACAGAAAGGCAGAAAATCTGTTGATTCAGCAGAGATCCCCAACCCAAGATTCCCCTTGGGAGCTTTCATAACTAACAAAGGCAGGTCCTACCCCAGAGATTCTGACCTAACGGGCCCGGAGTGAGGCCCACGCATTGCTATCTTTTAGGATTCTTGGTGTTACTCCGATGAAGCAGCCAAAGTTTCAACCACTTAGAGAAAATGCTCTCTATTATGGAAAACTGAAGCAAAAATGAAAATATGTGTTTGTATCTGCTTGTATTTTCACAAAGA